AACATACAAAAGAAACAAAAAATCACATAGAACATTAAAAACAGCAACTACCTCTTGTGTCCATGTCTTCGAGTTAATTTTGCTTAGTTCCATCTTATATGGTCATAAATGTTACAGAAAAGATAGGTTAATTTGTTGGTCTTAAATGTCACCCTGATTTTACAAACAGTTCTTTTCTGGAAATATGAGATGCATCAAAGTTTTATGCAGAGTGCTATTATTCCTTAAAACATAGAGACCTTCTGAGTTTACAGAATCTGTATGACTTGTCCTGTTCTGAGAAATAGATAATAGATCTTTTTTTTCTGTGTGTAAATTTACTTAACTTCTGACACATTACTATCCCTTCATCTACTTTTTCATTAGTATCATTCAGTATCATCATCAGTATCATCAATATTTACCTATTCATGGGTATTTTTGTTTTATAAGCAGGAGACATAGGTAGAGAATATCAGTCCAAAAATGGTCCTGAGAAAAGAACACAAGACTCTGGCCAAATAACTGAAACAGAAAATTCTGAGGATTTATATAGCTCAGGGGTAAATACAAACAGTTCAAATACCAAAAATAAAAGTTCACCTGAGGCAACACAAAAAATCCTATTAAAAATTAGCCACTCTAAGTTCATTTAGACTTTCATTATAATCAGTGTATTTTTTATGCATTGTTGGTTTTTTGTTTGTTTGTTGACTTTTTATTGAGAAAATACCATACAGAAGGGTTACAATGACATGGGCAAGGTAATGAGTACATTTCTTATCAAGCATTGTTGCCTCCTCTTTGTTTGCCCTTCCCATCCCTTCCCATCTCCCTACCCGTGTGCTCCCCCTCCCCCCACATTCCCACCTTTCCACCCTCCCCCCCCACCAAAGTTGTAAAGTTCATTTTTTTACATAACGTCTTGTACATCTCATTGTTGCAGTGGGTCCACCTGTATCCCTATTTAAACAATTGTTTTTTTCCTTCCCCTCCACAAATTATACCAACATCAAATACAGTGAAAAGAGGGGTTATACATGGGGGGAGGGACATACAAAGCAACAAAGAAATCATCTTATAAATATGTTAGAAACAATCCCAAGAAAGAAAAAAACATTTGAATCCTTATCTTGAATCCAAGAAATATGATAGATCTATTCAACATTTGGAAGACACCACCAGAAGGCCTAATCTGAGGACAATCAGTGTATTAAACTCAGAAAACTTCTACAATTGCCCAAAGCAGGTAAGGTTCCTGATTAATATTCTGAAATCTCAAAGACTGAGCATGCAGAATACCCTCACTTTCTTTTTATTTTTTAAGGATACTTCTCTTTTTTTTCATTTTATTTTATTTTATTTTATTTTGTGAACATACTGTACAGAGGGGTTACAATTACATGGTCAGGATAATGCGTACATTTTGCAGCCTCCTGCTTTGTTTACCCTTCACATCCCTTCCCAGCCTCCCTGCCCCTCGCCCAATCCTCCCCTCCTTCCCCCCCCCCCGCCCCGCACCAACATTGTAAAGCTCATTTTTCGACATGACAACTTGTACTTCTCATTGTTGCAACAGGTCCACCTGTATCCTTAAACGACTTGTTTTTCCCCATCTCCTCCACAAGTTATACTGACATCAAATATAGTGAAAGCAGGGGTTATATTGTGGGGGAGGGACATACAAAGCAACAAAGAGATAATCTTATAAATGCGTTAGAAACAAATAAATGAAAGAAAAAAACATTAAAATACATATCTAAGGATTCATTTTCCTAACATCACATTATCTGACCTTTTCTGCTTGACTCATACATATACTAGATATTGCAAATAAGGGAAATCATGGGACCTATGTTTCTTTGGGCCTGGCTTACTTCACTTAATATAATTTTTTCCAAGTTTTTCCATTTCCTAACAAATGGGGCAATGTCATTCTTTCTGATGGAGGCATAGAATTCCATTGTGTATATATACCACATTTTCTTGATCCATTCATCTACTGAGGGGCATCTGGGTACCCTCACTTTCTGTTGATGAAAGCAATGAAACTCTTCTCCATCTGCAGATCCAAAGTCTACAAGCCATGGAGAGAGGCAACCACACAGTGACAGAGTTCATCCTGTTGGGCTTCACAACAGACCCTGTGATGCAGCTGGTCTTGTTTGTCCTCTTCCTCGGAGTGTACTGTGCAACCTTGCTGGGAAACACCACCCGTGCTCATCTGCAATGACTCCAGGCTCCACACACCCATGTATTTCTTCATTGGAAATCTCTCTTTTCTGGATCTCTTTTATTCTTCTGTCTACACACCAAAGATTCTCCTGACTTGCATTTCTGAAGACAAGAGCATCTCCTTTGCTGGCTGTCTATCTCAGTTCTTCTTTTCTGCAAGCCTAGCTTACAGTGAGTGTTATCTATTGGCTTCTATGGCTTATGACCGCTATGTAGCCATTTCCAAACCCTTGCTCTATGCCCAGGTCATGTCAAGGAGATTGTGCATCTGTTTAGTGCTATATTCCTACACAGGGGGATTTGTCAATGCAATAATATTAACCAGCAACACATTCACATTGGATTTTTGTGCAGGCAATGTGATTGATGACTTTTTCTGTGATGTCCCACCTCTGGTCAAGTTGGCATGTAATGTGAATGACAGCTACCAATATGTTCTCTACTTTCTCTTGGCTTCCAATGTCATCACTCCTACACTGCTCATCCTGGCCTCCTACTCCTTCATCATCGCTGCCATCTTGAAGATCCGCTCTGCCCAGGGCCGCCTCAAGGCCTTCTCCACCTGCTCCTCCCACATCATCTCGGTCACCTTGTACTATGGCTCCATTCTCTACATCTACTCTAGGCCAAGTTCCAGCTACTCTCTCTCAAGGGACAAAATGGTTTCTACCTTTTATACTGTGTTGTTCCCCATGTTGAACCCCATGATCTACAGTCTGAGGAATAAAGATGTGAAAGCAGCCCTGAGGAAACTCTTCAAGCTCGCACAGACCGAAGTCTAGATCCATTCGCTGGACTTTCTGAAGATCAGTGCTAAGTGATAAAATGCTACTCAAGGGAAGTTTAGGGACTGGATTTCAAAAAATAAAACTCCATGAATGGAAAATTTAGCTTAAAACATTTTTGTTTTAAAACATAGTTGTTTTGGCTTGGTTTAGAGATTAGACTCTATTCTCTAAAATTAACTGCAAGACCAATACCATTTTTCAAAAGCACTACTAGGGTTTAATGCAGAAATAGAAAAACATGGTATGTTTCTGGAATCTCTAAGGATTCTATATTCTTTTCTTCTCTCACACAATGTAAAAGGAGTTATATTCTCTACGAGATTACTCTGATGGAGTGAATCTGTGATTATTGGCATTTGGGGAATATATCCTTAATTTTGTTGGCTCCCTGGGACTCCTCAGTTATAGAAGATTGTAGAATGTCAAGATCCCTTCTATGAGAAGAGAGAGGGAAATGAAGTACAGAAAAACAGCAGCAGGTAAGAAGAAATATGAGTGAACCTCTGCCAAATCAAATTGCTCAAAGACCAGAATTTTTTGTATGATATTTGTTTCTAATTGTAATGACATTTTAGTCCTTTCATCAATCAAAATAACCTTTGGAAATAAAATTCTGTCCTCTGAGGTAGCAACTTCTCATTTGTAAACTTTGTAATATTCCTTCACTTAGACTCTTGTAAATGGTATTGAATAAAATAGCAACAAAACCTACTATGTACTGACAATAATTTCCAAGTTGTTTTGGTTTATGTTTTTCTGTAGTTCAATTCTTCGGTTGGAACCATACTAGCATTGGGCTTAGGAATGACTTATCTCTTGTGAACATAGACTGAAAGATTCCCAAAAATCATTGTCAAAGTTCTCCCCAACAAACCCTAAACTGTCCAAAGCAAGGACCTGATAGGGTTGTAAGGAACAATAGCTAATTCGCAGGTTAATCAGTGCATAGAATTTATCCAGGGAAATGACACATACCTGGCTTGTAGTCAATGAATAGCAAGATAAGAAATGATCTACAGAGCTGAGATGCTCTAACCTACCACTGGGGGAGTGGGTTATTGTATTCATAGGATGGCTGAGGTTTTGTAACTCCAGGAACTGGGCTAGATTCATTATGTTTGGCAACACATCTTGTCATTCATTGTTCCAGGAAACAATCTAAATAATTTTGATTATGCTTGATGAAGGTTCTGTGTTGGGATCGAGATTATAAGAAAAATTCACAACTGGCTCGGACATAAGGACTTAGGTATTTTATTTTATCATTCTTGATGAGGGCAAATGGAAAACCACAGGGACATATGAGTAGACTTGGTTATTTTATATTTCTATGTTGCATATTGCTAGATATTATCTACCCTTCTCCAGGTAACATTGATCTGGACCATTCAGGAGAGTTCTCTCTGGAGTATACACTCTCCCTAGAAGAGAACATACTCTTCAGGGTGAGAGACAACCATAAAAACACCTAATGCTTTAACAGGTTATGTTGCAATTTTGTTTTATAATCTAAACTACTACAGAACACATCATTTAATATTATTTTGACATAGAAGCCATAGGATTACCATGCTCAAGTAGGAGTTTCAAATAAGTTTATTAGAGAAAACACCTCACTGAAGAGAAAGTTGAATAAAACCTTGTAAAAATAAAGTCCAAGTTTTTCAAAAATATTCCAAATCTCCTCAGCCAGTGACAATTACTCATCCAACTTCAGATCAAGCGCTATCCTTTATGCTCCATGACTTCTGTCTAAAACCATGAAGGATTTTATGGGAAAAAAATTAAAGAGGCAACATAACATATTGATCTCCTGTGCAGCAGCCTTAAAATGGATCGTATCACAACAAAATATGAGTAATTAAAAGACCCTTAATCAATATCTTATTGTTTACAAAATCACCTGTTGGAATTAAATGAAATACACAAATGTTTGCAAGCCCATTCATCCCTCAGTTCTTGGATAGAGATAACTCCATTCACCAGAACCAATAACCTTCACGATTGTGGCCGTATGGTCTGTGTAGCTTTCCTGAAGGCCTCCTTCACATCCTTGTTTCTCAGGCTGTAGATGAGAGGGTTGAGCAGTGGGTTGATCACAGTGTAGAACAGGGCAGCCATTTTGTCTTTCTCCAGGGAATAGGTGGAACTAGGCCTCGAATACATGAAGAGCAGAGATCCATAGAAGAGCGTGACGGAGATGAGGTGGGAGGCACAGGTGGAGAAAGCCTTGCGCCTTCCCGAGGCTGAGCGGATCCTCAGGATAGCCAGCAGGATGTTGAAATAGGAAATGAAGATGGCGAGAATGCTAGAGAGCACTGTGAAGCCCACCACACCCAGGAGGACTTTTTCATAGACCCGTGTGTCTGTACAGGACATTTTTACCAAGGGTGGCGCATCACAGAAAAAATGGTCAATGACATTTTTCCCACAGAAACTCAGCCGGAAGGTGTTGGCAGTATGGGCGATGGCATTCAAAAACCCTCCTGTGTAGGAGCCTGCAACCAGCCCAGTGCAGAGAGAAATAGACATGGTGGCTGAATAAAGCAATGGACTGCAAATGGCTACATAGCGGTCATAGGACATGGCTGCCAGAAGATAGCACTCCGTGTAGGCTACAACACAGGAAAAGAACAGCTGAGCCCCACAACCAGCCAAGGAGATGCGCTTATCTTCTGAAACACAACTGGCTAGAATTTTGGGGGTGTAAACAGATGTATACCAGAAATCTAAAAAAGAAAGGCTTCCGATGAAAAAGTACATAGGCGTATGAAGCCTGGAATCAAACCGAATTAGGACAACCAAAGTCATATTCCCTGACAAAGTTAACAAGTAGATAATTAAAAATATTCCAAATAGAATCAGCTGCCAGTGTGGATCTGTGGAGAAGCCCAGCAAGATGAACTCAGTCAGGATGGTGCGATTCCTCACCTCCATGTCCACAGAGGAAAAGCCCTGATTATCATACGAGAATAAAAAAAAGAAAAGAAAAAAACCACTTAGTGATTTTACAATTGAAACAATGTAATAAGTATATTTCAATTAAACCAACAATGTCTAAGAAATATGTGGAATTTTATTTCTTAGTATACACAATTATAGATCTTCAGTGTCATTGAAAGGCCATAGGAATTGGAGTTAAAATGACCTTGCAATTAGATTCACTTAGCATTACTGTAAGGTAAGTGCTCCTAAAATAGACAAGAAAAATGAGGAAGTGGCACTGTGGCTCAAGCGATAGAGCACTTGTCTTGAGCTGAAGAGCTGAGGGACAGCGCCCAGGCCCAGGCCCAGAGTTCAAGCCCCACGACTGACAAAAAGAAAAGAAAAATGAATCTCAAGATGATAACTAGATATCGAGCTTCAGATCTATCTGAATATATATGTGCACAAACATATATGTGAGAACTCTGACCTACCTATTGTTCTTTTATATACATTGGCCATTCAAAAAGAATGTCAATATGCTACTATAAGTTACTAAAAAGTCCTTGTGTAAGAAGCATTATTTGCCTGTATTCTATACTACTTTTCTGCTATTATCACAAGTAGTAATAAATATGTATTACGAATTGTGCCATGTTCTACTTTAGGCTATAGATTTAACCTACTTTGTTGCCATTACAACTTTATAATACGGTTGCATCATGGTCTTGATATTGTTCATAATTCTTAACCACAAATAATATAAGTAAAAACATTCTCAGAACTGATCAAAAGCACAGCTACAATTTAACCCCATGTCTGGTTAATAAGAGTATGTTCTTAGCTGAACACTTGTGGCTCATGCCTATAATCCTATCTACTTTGGATTTCAGTTCAAAACCAATCCAGACAGTGAAGTCTGCAAGACTCTTATCTCCAATAAATGACTCAGAAAAAGCTAGAAGTGGTGCTGCAGCTCAAGTGGTAGAGCACTAACCTTGAACACAAAGAATCTCAGGCACACCACTCAGGCCCCAAGTTCAAGCCCAAGCACTAACAAAAATTATACAAAACAAAGGAAAAAATAAACAGTATGTTCCTTGATACTACATTATGATGGCTACAGCACAGTAGGATATCTATAGATGACAATGATTTCAAAATGTGAGCAAAAAGATTCTAAATATTTTCCTATAAGGAAAAAATAATGATTGAGAAGATAGTCATGTTTACCCTGATTTTAATATTATAAAAGTCTATATGTTCCAAAACATCACACAACATCTCATGCATAATTACCAATTAAAAATATTTAAAAGGGGGGAAAAGGAAAGAAAGAAAAGATGAATGGAAGAAGTATAAGGAAGGGAATGAAAGTGTAAAATAGGAGGGAAAAAGTATGAGATCTCAATAGTTGTTACTTATTTCTCTTTCAGGTGGAAATCTTCTTCTTTTTGTGACCACCCCCTACTGAAAGCAATGCTACACCTTTCTTACAATCTGAAAACCTCTCAGTTGACATGATTTTCAAGTGTCATTTCATACAGCGGTTGCTTAGTTCAAGAAAAGTCATGACATGGCATGGGTAAACCCAAGATCATGGCAATGGTAAACCATCTTGGCTCCTTTAAATTTCATATTTTTTACTTTATTTTATTGTAAGGATGCTGTATAGAGGGGTTACAGTTACATGAGTAAGGTCATGAGTACATTCCTTGTCAAACACTGTTACCCCACCTTTGTTTTTCTCCTACTATCTCTCCCACCCCCCCAACCCCACGCCAAAGTTGTAAAGATCATTTCCAACATAGTGTCTTGTGAGTATCATTGTTGCAATGGGTCCCCCTGTGTCCTTGTTTTAGCATTTTGTTATTTCACTTCCTCTCCCCAAATTATATAAATTATATAAATTATATAAATGTATATACAAGATGCAGGATACCAAAATCAAACACAGTGACAACAGAGGATATACCACAGGGAGAAGAACATTCAAAAGAAACAAAATTCAAAAGATTCAAAAGAAAAAAATCACATGACACATTGAAAACAGCAAAACAAAGAAAAACCTCTTGTGTCTATCTTTGGGTTCATTTCATTTAGCATCATTTTATATGGTCATATGTACATAGCTTTTGAGTGTTTCTGCTCATCTGATAAGATTATCCAAGATAATAAGGGAAATCATGGGACCTATATTTCTTTGGGTCTGGCTTACTTCACTTAATATGATTTTTTCCAAGTCCTTCCATTTCCTAACAAATGGGGCAATGTCAGGATGTGAAGGGTAAACAAAGGAGGGGGGCTGCAATGCTTGATAAGAAATGTATTCATTATCTTGCCCATGTAATTGTAACCGCTCTGTACAGTATGTTCACAAAAAATAAAAATAAAAATTTAATTTAAAAAATGGGGCAATGGCTCTCTTGCTCTTGCTCTTGCTCTTGCTCTTGCTCCTCTTTTCTAGCTCTCTCTGCTCTCTCTCTGCTCTAGCTCTTTCCTCTCTCTGTCCTCTCTTTTCCAGCCACATGGAGTGCCACCTGGATACCACATGAGTGCTACTGTTCTTACCCCTCTCTCTGCTCTTTTCTCTGTGACTCGTACCTGAAAAAAAATGGGGCAATGTCATTCTTTCTAATGGAAGCATAGAATTCCAATGTGTGTATATAAGTATATATATATATATATATGTGTGTGTACATATATATATATATATATATATATATCACATTTTCTTGATCCATTCATCTACTGAGGGGCATCTGGGTTGGTCCCATATCTTAGCTATGGTGAATAATGCTGTGATAAACATAGTTGTGCTGGAAAAAAAAACATAGTTGTGCTGGTAGCTGTGGCCGTAAAAATAATGCAAAACAAAACAATATTGAGATTCCACCTCACTCCAATTAGGATGGCTATAATCAAGAACTCTAATAACAACAGATGCTGAAGGGGATATTGCCAAAAGGGAACCTACTGCACTGTTGGTGGGAGTGTAAACTTGTTCACTCTGGAAAGCAGTATGAAGGTTCCTCAAAAAACTACACATAGAGGGCTGGGAAGTTGGCTCAGTGGTATAGTGCTTGCATTGCATGCATGAGGCCCTGGGTTTGATTCCTCAGTACCACATAAGCAGAAAAAAGCCCAAAGTGGTGATGTGGCTCGAGTGGTAGGGTACTAGCCTTGAGCTGAAGAGCTGAGGGACAACACCCAGGCCCAGAGTTCAGCCCCCACAACCAATAAAAAAAAAAAGAAAAAGACTACACATAGTGCTCCAATATGACCCAGCAATCCCACTTCTGGGCATTTACCTAAATGATCACAAACAAGGCCATACTAAAGCAAATAATGTTTAGATTTTCTAGTCTATTGCTCAAAGATTTCCCAGAGAATGAGATAGATAAAAATTGCAAAATGAGAAATGAGAGTGAAAAAACCTCTTACTGGGGTGTAAGTAGAAATAGGAAAAGAATTCCATCATAATAAATACCAAGTGACCCACCAAGTTACTGAAGTCTTTGACAAAGTAAAGAGACTGGGAGATGTTAAATGAAGATGGAAAAAAGAGTCACCAGATTTGAAAAGTATTTGGTAGATGGTAAAACTTTCCTTTTATTTTTTCTAGCAATAGAAATTGAGACCTCAGCATCAGAAACTGTTAACATTACCATGTCTGCTCATATGAAGTTCTCTCTGGCTGCAGATCTGAAAATGGACTGCAGGACAAGTTGCTTACTCTGAAATCCTTCTTCCTGTGACACCTGTCAATATTAATCCTCTACTCTTCTGAACAGGAAAGGGAGGCAATAAAAGCTCTAGGGAAATCAGTAGGTCTTACATAAAGAAGGATCCTATTCTGGAAGAGGAAATTAAAGTCAGTTCTAATCTTATCTCTGAATAGAAATTTCTGTCCACATGATCATTTCTCTTTAAAATGCTGTTGAACTCTAGAGACAAAATCCTTTCAAAATATGGAGTGAGAATGTTGAAAGTTGTGAAGTTGATCAAGAAATATGTACTCATTGCCTGACTTATGAAATGGTAACCCTTGCATACAACACCTTAAGAATAACAATAAAATTGTATTTTAAAAAGGGCAACCTCAGGGCTGGGAAGGTGGCTCAGTGGTAGAGCGCTTGCCTTGCATGCCTGAGCACCACATAAGCAAAAAGAAAAAAAGCTGGAAGTGGCACTGTGGCTCAAGTAGTAGAGTGCTAGCCTTGAGCTGAAGAGCTGAGGGACAGCGCCCAGGCCCAGAGTTCAGGCCCCACAACCGGACCCAAACAAAAAAAGGGGGGGGGGCAATCTCTCTGTACAAGTACTTAAAGATAATAAAAATAAAGCAGAATTTATTGAATCTTAAAATAATATGAAAAAATAATATGAATTGATGGTATCTTTTTCTATCTCTTTGTTTAGAATATAGACAACTATGAAACTTTGGGAAGTAGACAAGTAAACTTGATAAAATATTAAAAGACATAATATCAAAGTCCTCATTTTGAGTTTATACAGAATTTCACCACAGATTTATCTCATTTTGTTTTTGTAACAGAGATCTTGTGATAAAAAGAGAAACTCAAATGAAAATTAAATCCTGAACCAAAGAGCTATGTGGCATGGATCCAAATTCTTGCTTGATTTTATTAGTGGAATCTGTTAGTTCCCTCCTCCCTTTCCCCCTACACACACCCACCCACACACACACACACACACACACACACACACACATACTTCCTGAGAAGTAATTTGCTTTGCCCAGAGATGCTCTTTATACTTCTCATTTTTCTCTTTCCTGTATGCGGGCACTTTTGTAACAGATGAGTGATAGATTTATGCATGTAAATATACCATGCTTAAAGTTTAACTCATAAGCTTTACTTCCAAATGTTAGGATTAACTTGTATTTTCTTCATGTTACTTGATGAAACCCAGGCCTTTTTAAAAATCTTGGAATGACAGGATATTTTTTCTCTCTCCTGTCTACTTTGTAGTCTTTCAGTAGATCCTTGTTTCTCTTCCTTTAGAACTTTCCCTGAAGCTAAGCACTTCATACCTTATAATAGTGGTAAAAATTACCTTTATCTTTTACCCAGTTTTTGAATATCCATCTAACTGGTCTCACCCTTATCTCTTATAATAGATTCTCAATATAGAAAACAGCAGTATCCAATATGTAAATGAATAATACAATGTCTGCCTCATATTTAAAACCAAGCAAAGCCACACTGGCTGGAATTTTTCTATCATCTGAGAAATTTTTCTATCATCTGTTAGAAGATTAATCTTCTAACATTCACCGTGCCTGCCTCTCCATTTTGCACCAGGCTTGCTGACTTACCACTTTCTCAAACATGCTAAGTGCAATCTCAGCATTAAACTCTTTTAATGTAACTGTTTATTCCCTCTCCCTGAAACACCACTCTCCAGATGTTTACATGGATTATTGATCTCCCTCAAGTACCTCTGACAAATAAATTCCTGATTATAGCTCATCCAAATCACTTATTGTTAGAATTCTTATGAATAATCCCAGACTTTATTACTCTACTGAGATTGTGGTTTGTTAACTCTCCTCTCATATTCTATAGCTTGTTATGTTCTAACTTTTTATTTTAAATTATTTTCTGCTTCTCCAATATTGAATGCAATATCACAAGGGAATTTTTTATATTTTTTTTATTTTTTGTAAGTTATGGGTCTTGAATTCTGGGCCTGGGTGCTGTCCCTGAGCTCTTCATATGAAGGAAAGTGCTCTACCACTTCAAGCCACAGTGTCATTTCCAGTTTTCTGTGAAGATGAATATCACAGACTTTCCTGCCCAGGGCTGACTTTGAACTGTGATCTTCAGGTCTCAGCCTCCTGAGTAGCTAGGATAACCAGTGTGAGTCACTGGCACCCAGCTAAGGGAAATATTTTTATCTGCTTATTTTATTTACTGTTGAATTCTAGCTTCAAGAACAGCTCTGGTAACTTAGTGACAATCAGTACATAATTATCAAACTTATTACTTGCCTTTGCACCTTCAACCTGATTTTCTTAAAGCACTTCCAAATAAGTTTTTTAAACTAAGGGTAAAAGTCTATCCCAAACTGGACTTGTGTGATACAGTATACCATACCATAATAACATGAAAAAATAAATAAAAGAATACTAATTTCTCTAAGCTGCAAATCCATCATGATTTTGAAACAAATTACTAGTCATACATGAAGCTGTAGGAAAAGGCGTAGGAAATGTGAGAAAAAAACTCATGTTAAAGCAAATCACATAAAATGGCAAATCACCATCACTTTCCCCCACAGTGACCTATTCTCTGTCCCTCCCTTGCTCATTTGGAGCAAGAAAAAATTCTGGAGAGAAATGAGTCTCTCTGACACATAGAAATTAGTTCCAAGAGTTGGAAACTGGTAGCTGACATCTATAATCCTGGCTATTCAGGAGACTGATATCTGGGGATTGTGAAGCCAGCCTATCAGACTCTTATCTCCGATTAACTACCAAACAATTCAGAAGTAGAGCAATGTCTCAAGTGGTAGAGTGCCAGCCTTGAGCAGAAGTTAGGGACAGTGCCCAAAGCTTGAGTTCAAGTCCTAGGACTGGCACAAGAAAAAAGATGATTTCCAAGAAATGAAAATCACATATGCCAGTAGGCTGAATAAGACAGTATAGCACAACCCATGGAAACAAAATTGCCCTATTTTGACTCTTTCATTATTGAATATATGATATGCCAACATAAATATCAGACTTACAGATGAGCCATTCCCTGTGTTTGATTATTTCCCTTCTTGCTAAAGCTTAAGTTATAGGAAGTCCAAAGTGCTAAGGATGACTAATACAAATGGTCTCCGGTGCTTACCCTTCGTCAGGAAGGCCAATTCTTGGAAGTGACACTCTTTCCACTTCTAGGCTGGTCTGATGTGCCTTTGTTACACTCAACCTAAGTATTTCCTCAAAAACCCTCAGAGATTTCTTTTACACAGCAACCAGAAATATGTAATTTGGTCTCCAAAGACATAATTACAGTTTACTTACAATTCAGGTATGTTAATCATAAATATAAGTAGTATTTTATTTGAAGTTGATCTCTTATTGGAGAGTTGATCCCTTATTGGAGGATTTCTCCAATATATTGTACATTCCACAAATTTTTTCTTGCCATATGCTCTTCTCTCTGTCCAGACCACTCTTGCTTATTTATATCCTTCCTTAGAAACTGTCATCTATTCCTGGTGCTATAATTTGAAACATGTCTCCCCACAATACATAAGCCAAACCTTCACTCCCAGAACCTCAGAATGGGGTGAAAATATCCCATCTTCTTCCTCTGTGTCTCCCTCCTCCTTTTCTTCCTCCTCATCTCCCTTACTTTTTCTTATTTGGCATTGCTAGAGTTTGAACTCAGGGCCTTGTGTTTACAATGCAAGTCTTCTAATATTTTAGCCGTGTCTCCAGCCCTTTTCCTTTAGATTTTTTTATTGGAAAAATACAATACAGAGGGATTACAATTACATGGGCAAGGTAATGAGTACATTTCTTATCAAGCATTGTTGCCTCCTCCTTTGTTTCCCCTTCCCATCCCTTCTCATCTCCCCCCCCCCCCCCCCCGCCAAAGTTGTAAAGTTTGTTATTTGGCATAACAACTTGTACATCTCATTGTTGCAATGGGTCCACCTGTATCCCTAATAAACAATTTGTTTTTTTACCTTCCCCTCCACAAATTATACCAACATCAAATACAGTGAAAGCAAGGGTTATACTATGGGGGAGGGACATACAAAGCAACAAAGAAATCATCTTATAAATATGTTAGAAGCAATCACAAGAAAGAAAAAACATTTGAATACTTTTTTGTAATAATAAAGTCTCATGTATTTTATCCAAATCAGCCTTGATTCACAATCCTCCTAATTATGAATTCTGTGTAGCTGGAATTAGAAGACATGGGCCACAGCATCCAGCTTATGCTTTGAGAAAAGGACTCATTGGATAATTTGACAGGGAGGCATCTTGGGCTGTGCTGAAACCTCAGTCTTTCTAAATCTGCCTCACAGATTACAGGCTTTGGATTGGATTACAGGTTTGAGTCTCTATACCCAGCTCTTGATATGATGGATTATTTTGCAGAAAGGAAATGTGAGCATAGAAAGAGATACCAGTAGTTTAGCTACACAGAGGAGTGACTACTCAAGAACAAAGCAGTAAGTCAGCCATCTGAAAGTCAGGGAGCAAGAGACCTCCCCAAAAAAATATGCTCTGCTATTCCCCTGAAATTGGACTGACACCTTGAAGCACTGTAAGAAAATAAACATCTATATCTTAAGCCATGAAGGGTGTGGTGTTACGACATAAATATCTTCTCAAACTTACATACTTGTGGGCTGGGAAGGTGGCTCAGTGGTAGAGTGCTTGCCTTGAATGCATGAGGTCCTGGGTTCAATTCCTCAGCACCACATAAGCAGAAAAAAAAACCATTAGTGGCACTGTGGCTCAAGTTGTAGAGCACTAGCCTTGAGCTGAAAGGCTGAGAGACAGCGCCCAGGCCCAGAATTCAGGCCCCACGACCTTGCTTGCCAACAGTTAGGTCTTTTTATTTTCGAACATCCTTGGTTTTTACATGTAAAATGACTATTATACTTAAGAAATGTGATATAGCACAATTAAATATTTGCTAATTTCATTAATTTGTACATAAAATCAAAGAAATACAAACATACATTGATCCTTTGTTAAGATCAGGGACTACATTGTTCAATAGATTTGTTTTCTATCATTAGGCATTTTTCACTCTGAATCATTTCTGTTACTTTTTTTTAATCTTCTTCCTTTCAGATCTGTTTTTGTGTTCTTGGCTAGATACATCTCCCATTTTTATGTGACACAATTGCTACACTGTCACCCTTCACTTTCTAATTATTAGGGAAAATAGTCTTTTATTAGAAATACACAATGCTTCCACATGATATTTATCCTACACTTAATCTATTGATAAAGAAATCTCATCTTAAATAATGGCAAGACAGGAAGTAAGAACCAATAAATAAGTAAATAAAATTGATTTTTTAGGAGAAATGTACAAATTTATATATCCTTTTCCTCATTTTCTAGTGAAAGAAGTCCCATTGTTGCTACATCTATGAGCTGAATGATTTGAAGTAACTTTAGTTCATCAAATCCTGACAATGATCATTTCCATTTCCATTTAGAATAATATGAAGACAACTTATAAAGTGTCAAGGGACATTTTTAATTGATCTGCTTTCTCTCCTCTTTTATAAACTGTATTCCAAGCTAGCATAAATAACCATTTTTTGCAAATGCTCCAGTTTCATTTCTTTAAAAAATATCCAAATACATTAGTGGTAACGTCAAAAAAAATGCCAACTGCTACTTCCATCTTGTGAAAACGGCTTCTGTTCGTTTTATTTATTTCTGAGAGTACAGACTAGTGACAACACCCTGCTTTCAAAACGTTTTACCCAACTCGTCCCATCTGAGAAAACTTGGCTCTCTCTAACATTTTCCTCAAGGCCTCCTTCACATCTTGATTCCTCAAGCTATAGATCAGCGGGTTCAACATGGGGATCACCACGGTGTAGAACACTGACACCACTTTGTCCCGTTCCAGGGTATAACTAGTGCTGGGCCGAGAGTAGATGAAGAGAATGGAACCGAAGTACAAGGTGACAGCCGTCAGGTGAGAGCCACAGGTGGAGAAGGCTTTGAGGCGGCCCTGCGTGGATGGGATCCTCAGAATGGCAGCGATGATGAACAGGTAGGAGGCCAGGATGAGTACGGTAGGCGTGACGACGTTGGAGGCGAGGATGAAATACAGCACAGCCTGGTAGCTCGCCTTTACGTTGCAGGCCAGCTTCACAAGTGGGGGCAGATCACAGAAGAAATCGTCAATGATGTTGTCGCCACAGAAGCTCAGGGTAAATGTCTCGCTGGTGATGAGGGTTGAATTTACAAATCCACCGAAGTAGGAAGTTGCTACAAGACCGACACATAACTTGGAGGACATAGCCTGGGAATAGAGTAAAGGATTGGCGATGGCCACATAGCGGTCGTAGGCCATGGCCGCCAAGAGGTAACACTCACTGTAGGCCAGTCCTGCGGAGAAGAAGAATTGAGCCAGGCAGCCAGCAAAGGAGATGCTTTTGTCTTCAGAGATGCAAGTCATCAGGATTTTGGGGGAGTAGACAGATGAATACCAGAGGTCTAGGAAGGACAGGTTTCCAATAAAGAAATACATGGGTGTGTGGAGCCGGGAGTCAGAACAGATCAGAGATATCAGGAAGAGGTTTCCTAAGAGACTGATGATGTAGATAGTGAGGAAGATGAAAAAGAGCACCAACTGGAACCCCACCTGGGCAGTGAACCCCAAAAGGATGAACTCTTTCACTTGAGTGAAATTTGTCTTGTCCATGATAATGGTTTCTATGTTCTTTCCTGTGAAAAGAATAATGCTTGCATTATAACTGTTGTTCTAGACCATTGGAAAACTCTGTTACTCTATCTATACAGTTGATGGATTTCTGATGGACTGGGTACCATGCCTTTGGAGAAGAAGATAAAGCAGTTCTATGATGCCAGAGCAGAGCATTTACTGTGTACATCATGGAGCAGGTACCACTTAAGATTCTCATTCCCGTTTCTCCTCGTTTTCATTCTTTATTTTTAGTAGCAGAAGAAATTTGTACTTAGGACTCAAAAACCACTTCTAAAAACTGTTCTTGTCATTTGTGTTAGAACTACTGAAATCTCACCTAAATGAAAGGCTTTCTGAAAATCAGGGCCCAGTAAAGCACTACCAAATCTGAGTCATGTATAATTTTTGGGGAGGTCCGGTCTTGGGGCCTGAACTCTGGGACTGGGTGCTGTCCCTCAGCTCTTCAGCTCAAGGCTAGCACTCTACCACTTGAGCCACAGTGCCACTTCCAGCTTTTTTTTTTTTGCTTATGTGGCGCTGAGAAATTGAACCCAGGGCCTCATGCATGCAAGGCAAGCGCTCTACCACTGAGCCACCTTCCCAGTCCCCACATACATTTTTTAAATGAACATGCCTTCTAAGATGAATGAAATCTGGGATTTGTTTTATTTTATTTTCATTTATATCTGAGATGTCATTTCATTTGTTGCTTGCTATTCCAAAGCAACTTTAAAATACTTATACTGAATATGTTGCATTTCTCTTATGTGGATTTTGACAATCTTCCGTGACTTGCTGTAGTATTAAAACTAGAGTAATACCCATTTTATTGACATCTTGAGGTGGCAATCCCTGGTGATTTTTATTTTCAATAATAACCACCAAGTCAAGTGGTACAGTCCAACTTCAGAGCATCAAGTGCAGAACTTTCTAGGTTTGGTTTGGAAATAGGCTAAATTCTAGAGGTCTAGGAAGTATTATTTATTGGTTGAGTTAAAGCAAATCAATAGAACTAATTCAAACAAAGTAAATTTATTAGTAAGAATACTGAGTGTTCTACCATGTTATAGGTATTCAGCATTTCCTTATCTATTAAATATATTGAGAAGGTATTCATCTTCAGCCTCTTTGCCTTTTATGTTTTGAAAATGTTTTAATTTTGATTGTAAATAAATAAGGGGCTCAGTATGATATTTCAACACATTCATATGGTGTGAAATAATCAAATTCATCCTCCCTCTAACCTCCTTTTCCAAATTTTAGTGATCACTATTTATACTAAAAGTGATCTTTAGCATCCACACAGAGGAAACATACAAAACTTGTCTTTCAGTGACTAGCTAATTTTAAAATATAATTTCCTCCAATTGTATCAGTTATGCTACAAATTGTAGGCAATCATTTGTTATACCTGGACATTATTCCATTGTGTATGAATACCACAGGTCCTTTGTCCTTATATCCATTGATGGGCACTGACTTGTGTCTATAACTTAGTAATTTTAAATAATTCCCCCACTAAACAGAGACATACAGTTATCTCTTCTGTGTGCTAACTTTGTTACCTTTACAAATGTTCTCAGAAGTGAGTGGAACTGATGGATCTTGCATAGATTATATATTTACTTTTGAGGACCCTTCACACTCTTCTTTATAAATCTACCATCTTTTATTCCCACCAATGGTGTGTTAGTTCATTTCTCCTATCATCATCACCAGAGTTTTCCTTTTCCTTTCTTTATTTCCTTTCTTTTTGACAACAGTCATCTTACCTAGGTATAATTATACCTCCTTTGATCTGCATATCCCTTGGGGTTAATGATATCAATCAAGCATTTTTTTCCACATGTAACATAATCAGCCCAGAGACTTGCAGTCAACTCATTCTCAATAAAGGTACCAGAAAGATTCACTGGACACACTATAAATATCTTTCACAAATGTTGCATTGACTACTGGATATATATATATATATATATATATATATATATGCAAAAGACTAGACTTGATCCTTTTCCCCCCTGTATGAAACTCAGCCAATACTGAATCAAACATATAATTATAAGACTTGAAACCATGACACTACCAGGAAACAAAAAAACAGAAAACAAGACGCTGTAGTAGGCAGTGTCTTTTTGGAAATACCTCCATAAGCACAAGACACAAAAGAACAATAGATGAGATTGTATTTAACTAGAAAGTTCCTACATATCTAAGAATCAACAGAAAGAAAAGCCATCCTACAGAATGCAAGACAAGATATGACCCTCAGGCAGAGAAGTCAAAGCCAGAACTTTTACTCTTAGCAACAGTCTCATTAAATAAACAAATGATCTGACTTGCCTAAATTCTCTTCTGATTGCAAGGTATGTGATTAAGGATCAGGGGGACTATATGAAAAAAGGAATTCGAAGGAATGATGCTACTTTACTTTAGGCCTTTGAATTATTTTTTCTAGTGAAATAAATGTAAAAGCATGATCTTTTTATTCTAATCACATTTTGGAATATAACTAAAAGTGCATTACATTGCAAAGTCCTTGAATCCTTTCATCCACAAAACCAAGAAAATAAATTTGTTACCAAGTAGAAAAAGAAGAACAGATTTAAACTGGGCGCTGGTGGCTCACACCTGTAATCCTAGCTACTCAGGAGGCTGAGATCTGAGGATCACGGTTCAAAGCCAGCCCAGGCAGGAAACTCCCTTATCTCCAATAAACCAACAGAAAACCAGAAGTGGCACTCTGTCTCAAGTGGAAAAGTGCTTGCCTTGAGCTGAAGAGTTGAAGGACAGCACCCAGGCCCAGAGTTTAAGCTCCATGATCGACAACAAAAAAAAAAAAAAAAGATTTATTTCCACAATAGAAATTTGAGACCACAACCACCCGCAGTCTGAGCGGTAACCTGAAAGGTAGATGAAAGTGGAGTACAAAAAAAGTGACTTTTTGGATATTTGTGTTAATAATGTGACAAAGTCCCTGGAATCTCCTTAATTTTCTATCCATGATAATGAGTTTGGACTCAGGACCTCCACAGCTTCCACAAAGTAAATTTCCAGTGTTTAAAGTACCTGTTGTGTGGTACTTTTTGCTGACAGCTGAAGGTGACAAATAAGAAAGTCATGGAGCACCACCTCAGAGTCCTCTTTTCCCCAGTAGTAGAAGCAGGAGAAGAATGGCATCAATAGTGCAGCCAGACACTAGAGAAGGCCTTGTTACCACCAACTCTAATCCAAGAAGGGCTTACTAATGATTGGTGTGGCTGCAGGTTGATAGTGGTGTTAAATTTCTGCAATTCTACCCAAAATATTTTAAATAGCTTTGGTAGCTGGCTAATTTATACAGTCTTGAAAACTGTGCCACCCCTCTGTCACACACACATTTGCATCACCCAGTAATTAAATTTTCATTTGAGAATGGAACTTGCAATAAAAGAATTTATTCCTGACCTCCCTTGTTTTCATCTCTCATTACATAAAAATAAGTGAAAATGTATTCACATTTGAGTAAATACATCATTCTTCTCCTAATTAAACTATATCAAGAGTGGCTTTGTGTGAATCATAAGAAATTAAGCCAGCTGGGGCACCAGTGGCTCGTGCCTGTAATCCTAGTTACTCAGGAGGCTGAGACCTGAAAATTGTGGTTCAAAGCCAGCTTGGGAAGGAAAGTGACTTTTATCTCTAAGATGAAAGTGGAGCTACCTTTGAGCATAAAGGCCTAAGTACAGTACCCAGACACTGAGTTCAGTCCCCAAAACTAGCACACCCACATACATACACACACACACACACACAAGTAAAGAAACACTAAGCCATCTTCCACATTTGTACAGATGAGTCGTATAAACAAAATTAAAAGGAAAATTTTAGCATAAACTGAAGAGATTAAAATCTACCCTACAAGCACAAATCTTATCCATTTCTTAGTATGGGTTCCTCATTTGATTAGAGATTTTCTGTCATGACATATGTACAATTGGTTGTGTACAAAGGCAAACAAATGAGCCATGCTTTCATGCAACACATTTCCATTGGGCATAGTAACTTCAGAATCATCTTTCCAAAGGTTTCATGTACAATGTAACACATAACATATTAAGCAGTATTGCTTCTACAATATGGGTGTATAGATATGCTATATAGACAATGATAATCAAGATATTTGAGAGATGATGCATAGATTGATGGACTGTAGATGGAAGATAGGTAAGTAGATGATAGATGACAGATAATAGCTGATAGGTAGACAGATCAATCGATAGATAATTTTCATAGACATAAAGTTAGCAACATACATACTGGATTCAAAACATAATAAAACAATTTATCCCAATAAATCATCTCTCTTATCTATCAAACTAATCACTTCAGAGAAGCATTGTTTTAACCTGTAGATAGCCCTTGGAATGACTTTGCTTTAAAGGTAGTCATTTACTGATTTTACATTTCTTCTCAGGCTTTATGCACCTGCTCTCTGTGCTAGTCCATTTCATATTTTATCAGAATGTTCCTCAGCTACCTATTAATTACACATACATGAGATGATGCATATATGTGTAAATAATTTCTTTCATTTTAAGCTTACCGGTCCACTGCCTAAAAGAAAAAGAAATTAATATTCATGAGAATATTGACTCATCACCTTTTTGAAACATGTTGGTCTTCTCTAAGCATTAAACTGGTTTCAGTAATATCGCTCAAGAGATAAACAGTGGGCCAGAGCTTTAAAAGGCTGATTATAAAAGAAATATGAACAAAGCCAGTAACTACCAATTTCACAGAGAGAGAAAAATAAAACTTCTCCACTTTATTCTCTATACTGATGGAAAAGAAAACCTTAATTCAAAAAGTTGAATTATGTCATGGCTTGCTTACATAACCTTAGCCCTTGTCCACATCATAATTTACTGATGCTTTACATTTACTGATTAAATACAATACTTACTTTCATGAATATAAATAGCTCATTTGAATGTCAACACAGTGCAGAATTTCCC